TGCTTGCCAAAATTGATTTTTTCAAAAACCATTTTGGCTAACATTCTTATCAACCTATTTCTACCATAGTTAACAAGCTTGGAAATTGTCATACAATGAACAAGCAAAATCAGTTGATTAATTCTCTTAAAATATATTAACTTAAAAAAAATAAATACAATGGAGCAAATTACAATAGATAGATAGATTCATGCCTTGAATTTTTTTTTTTGTAATTTAAAAATTTAATTAGTGTCACATGAGCCACCAATATATGCAACCAATAAAATGCTTTAATTCCCTAAATGCATGCTCCCACTCATTCCCAAGGGGGATGCACTTAGGGGGGTTGACTGTACTGATATCATAATGTTATTATTTAGGATTAAAGAATGTTTCAAAATATACTGCTCTAGCAACTCGTGCACTTTCAAATCAACATAAAGATGCTTTGCTTCTAGAAAAGGCAAGAATAACAATGCAAGGTTCTTCAAAAAAAGTCACTAATAATGGTAACAAACATATAATTAATATTTACTGGATGGCAAAAGAAAATATTACAATTTCCAAATTTCCAAGTCTTATTTATATTTTAAAACTCATGGAAATAGTGCACTAAATTCCATTTTCTAGTGTAGACTGTGAAAGAGGTTTAGCAAACAGAATATTATCAAATGTAATGCAATGGAAAATGGCACATTGCACTTATTAATTATGGTTGATTTCGAAGTTACTGATTTATTTGGTAATGTTTTAGTGATGCTCTTAGTAATAAAACAGAAGAATAAAATAAAGTTCTTAAATTTGAAAAAAATTTTAGCACCAAAAAATTTTCCTTTTTTCTAAATTTTTAGCATTCAGGAGAAATTTCCGTTTTTTTCAGATCCTATTTCCACATGCAGTCAAGCCAAATTCGTTACACCCAGAATTATACGAATTTTATATTTTTTTAAAAAATGCGAATTGAATTATAATTCGTTGAAAGGAGTTTGCCTGTATAAAATTTCACAATGTTTGCTCAGATATTTGTGGAGAATTAGAATGAAATGCAAAACGTTTAAAAAATCTTTATTATTATTGAATTGAGCTAGAGTTCCTATTTGTAATACAACTTAATATTAAATTAATCTCGTTTATTCGAATTATTTGTTCATTATTATTCATTTTATTCGAATTATTCATTTCATCCGTTTTTATTTTAACAGAAACTCTAAGTTGAGCAGGCTCGAGTTAAAATTTGAATTTCTAAGCTCGAATTGAGTTCAAGAAAATCAGCTCTTAAGTTGTTTTTAGGTAATGTGCATAAATAAAATGAAATGATAGAATTAATCATTCGTTACCTAAAAAAAATTTATATAAGCGCAAGCCCAGCTTGAGCTAAGTCGATTTGAAAACTCGAACCTATTATTTCTTTTATTTCTTGGCTGTTCGAAGTTTTACTGGTTGGTATCAATTTAATTGATATTTCTTTACAAATGGGTGAAGAATATGCAAAAATTTTGGCAGCTGGCATGGAAAAATTGGTAGATGATGTGACAAATGAACAAGGTTTATGAAATCGGTTGATAAAATCAATTTAAATGATATAAATATTTTGATGATGATGATGAAGTAATAATGGTAATATTGGTGGTGACAAAATTTGAAAGTCCTCGAGTATATTTATTTGTACAATTGATAAAATATGTTTTAGGGAAAAGAAAGAATTCAACTATTTTTCAATTTATGACTATTAAAAAAATTTTTTTTACATATCAACTTAATCATTATCGTTTTTATTGATTAATTAAAATCATGAAAAGCAAATATTCCATTTTATTGTTACTAAGGATTTAGTTCATAAAAAACATCCATTAATGCCTTTATTTAAGTACTTTCATTTATTCTGAGTTTATCTCATCGAAATAAACAAGGTTTATCAGCTGTACATTATATTTACCCCTACTACTACAAGATGTTTGTTATATTCCGAACATTTGAAACTTAAAACTAAGATTTTAGTTTTTTTCTAAACCTTTAAAGAATAATCACAAGCTTGTGTATATTTTTGCTACTCCCCAAAATATTCAATAAAATTGAACTCACAATGAAGTTTAGGGAAAAAAATTACTTTATGTCCATGGTCTTCAATAATCTCTTATATCAAAAGACACTGAAAGCAAAATCAGGTTGTAAAGAAAGAATTCGAACAGCACAACAATCTTCTCTTGTCATAGAATGCTTTTGACAATCGTTACATAGGCGAATAAGCCTTTTATCAATTGACCAAAGGTTACATTCTCCATAATCTTCTCAATTCCTTTCTGTCTTCCATCTTCTAGGTGCGTTTTTTGAGGCTTTCCACTAGGTAAAATGCCATATTTAAAGGTGTATTTATTACAACCACCAAGTCTGAAGTTCATTTGAGTAGTCATTAAAGCATCACCAGCAAACATAAATTGCTTGCTGGTTGCATTATCAAAATGCACAAATCTAGTTGCACTTGGGAAACGTAGGTATGATTTTATTTTGAATCTATAGATATGATTTTTTAAAATAAGTTTTTTACAACATTCAAATTAATTAATTTTAGATAGGTTCAACTATATTACCTGCTCAACAAGATCTTCTGAAGCCCACTGACCATTATGGTCCACGCCAGGCTTTATCACTACATAAGCTCCTTCGTGTAAGCTTTTCCATGATTTGAATAAAAAATTGACTCATAATGAACACGGTTTTTTTTCTCCAGTTATAAGATTAAGAACCATGATATCCAGAAGGTTGAACCAAACAAGGTAGTTACTCATGAATTCGAAGAAATAGAAGAAAAAGTCGAATGCACAAGGTGTCTTGGATGTGACACTTCAAACATATTTTACTTGCAAATTTCTGCGAATTAATCCTGAATGCAATATAAATATTACTTTTTTATTTTTATTTTTTTAATAGACTTGGATTTTTTAAACTACGTGCTCTTACATAATGGATATGAATCATTACAGGAATCTCTGATCTATTTAGATTAATATTAGTTGTTAATACTATTTAGAGGAGAGATCCAATAATTTTTGTCAGGCAGCAAGCAAGATATCAACTCAAGAAAGAATTATGGAAAATTGGATTGTCTTCAATACTACAAAGACCCATATAGTTATTCCAGAGCACCTTCAAGAATTGAATAGAATTAAAATTTTAAATGCAAATTTTGTAAACGATTATGTATTGATTTATGGAAAAATCAAGTCCTTAGAAATCAGGTGATTTTAGTTTAATTCGTGATCTCGTTGATCGGCGGACCACTAACAAGTTTGTGGCTTGAATATTTTCACAACCAACTATAGTATTTATAGTTTATAAACAATTATAACAAGTTGTTAACAAATAGCAATTACTAACACCAGTAGAATAGATAATGTGCAGAAGGCACTCTTTAATATTACCATGAACACTGATATTTTCAAAGCAAGCTTGCAAATTTTTGGCACATTAAAATATTGTGATTTCAGTTCTTTTATTGACGCAAGCTTTCTTTTTGAGAAGTCTGTTCGTATTTACTACCCAATCATCATCCATTACCATGATCTGAGCCATTAAAAGGTTGTCTTGTACAAGTTGAGAAAGAGCTTGAAAGAATTCGTGTAATTCTGCAAACTCTTCTTTGGGACCATTGATAAACAATCGCAATCACAGCCTACTTTCAAAAAAGAAGAGTTTTTCGGAACCACCACTATGTTTACTTCATATACAGACCCTATCTATATATAAACTTTAACACTTTGTAAATAAACGAAGAAAAAAATAATGATTATTAACATCCATCAATTAGTTAGATGCTTAGGAAAGACGCTATGTTTGGCCACGTGCCTCAAAACACCATGGTGTTGTGATAAGGTTACTGTGCCAACTACTTTTAACATGGCGAATTTAACATCACCAAGTATTTTGAATCGGGTGACATTTCCTTTAGTTCTTCCTAAAAAGGAATTGTATTAATTTTTTTTTTTTGCAGGAAAAAAATTTTAATTTAGAAATAAATTTCTTTATATGGGCAAATTTTGTCGCGCCAAAAAATTGATACTGGAATCAGTCCTATTTGAGAACTAACTATATTAATAAATTTGAGTAATACGACTAGATGTTGGAACCGGTTTTATTTTCAAGAACCAGTTTTAATTTTGTGGGGAATATCTATCAAAGGAAAGCAAATTATACTAAATTGTAACAACAATTTCCGCGAATATATTAATATATTTATGCTTTACTCTCAAAATTATCTTTCACTGACATTAAACAATTCCTTGCTAAATTGTATTATTGTATAGTGTAAACATTAAATAAATGTATCATCATCCATCTTTCGAATTTACATATTGTGAAATAGTAATAGTGATTTACGAACATTGTACGAAAAGAAAATCAAAACGGAAATACATTTCAAGGATTCAAATCAGTCCAATTTGATAAAGTGCAATAAACCAATAAAATAATTAACTCGCAAGAAAGTAACATTTCTTTAAATATTTCCAAAAGAAAGGTTTGTTTATTTTTAAGGAATACTTTAATTAAGAGTTTTTAGAAATTAGGGAACTAGATGATTGAACATTTAACATGTATAAATAACATTGTAATTTTCTTAATTAAAAAAATAGAAAATCAATAGTTAATGAATAGTTAATTCATAATAAATAACCAACTGTTCTTAACCTTAATCTTGTCCTGTTCTTGTCCTGGTCTTCGATTTTATATTTTCGTACCAATATCCCGTGCATAATTAATTCTCTCTTATTTTATAATTGTCTCTGTTATTATTATTTTTTATTTCTTTTCTTTCTTTTAGTAGGTAAATTTTATTTAGTGAAGTTTGGGGAATGTACCTGACTTGAGTAGGGAGTAACAGCGCGAGAGGGCATCCACCAAGAAACGTGATCAGGACATAGTGTGAAATCTAAGTAGATTGTTTAGTATTGCTTAGCAAGGAATCGTTTAACGATGGTGAAAGATAGTTTGAGAGTAAAACATAAATATACTGTATATTCGCGGAACTTGTTATTACAATTTAGTATAAATTGGAAGAAATTGTATTATTTTATTAGCATAAATATCGAATAAATAAATTATCATCATTGAAGCTTGTACACGATCTCACAATATACATTCATATATAAATTATATATACAATAATATATATAATTCAAAAAATATATATCATATATACATATTAGTATTTTGTTTGAAAAAATGGCGACAGAGAATTTGATAAATGATTTAGCAGTGATTGTATGAATGATAAAAACCGGTTTTATATTGCAACCGGTTTTAACCGGTTTTAAATCAATTGTACCCAAACCGGTTCCAACCTCTAACTATGACAAAATTGGCTAACTATTTTTAGACTATATATATCGTAACAACAGAATGCAAAGGCTTTCGGAGTAGCTTTGCTTTGCAAAATTGATTGATTGGCCAAAGACTTGAAAAAATTAAAGTTTTGAATTCAAGTTTCACGATTCACATAAAGTGGTGGACAATAAAAACACACGCCTTGTTTCTCTCTGTTTCTATTGTCAACCCATAATTAGTAGTATTGAATTAATATTTTAAAATTGTTGTACGTGAAAATGAAATTATGTGAATTCGCAATTCACATATGTGAAATTCATGTGTGAAATTCAAATTAGCCAATCAGAATTTCACTTCACTCCATAATATTTTCAATTTCACATACAACAAAATCAAAGAACAAAAATAAATAAATACATGAATTTATTATTTTATGAAATAAAATTTTTTTTTAAAAAAAAAAAATTTAAATGTTATATTTATTTATATAATAAAAATAATAATAATAATAATTTAAAAAAAACCTTAATTCCTGTAAAAAAATAAAAATGTCGGATTTCAGACCACCACAACCATCATGGGACTTAGAATATCATTCGACGGTCAACATTACAAAAGGTATGTTTGGTAAACCTTTCGAAGATATTCAAGCAGCGTTTACGGTCAATAGTGCTGTCGATGATGGTGTACATGTAGATGAGCTGTCATTGTCAAATTCACTTCGTAAAAAATCGGAAGTTTACATTGATGAGATTTTGAAGGATTATAATCATGTACTTTTTGATGATTGGGGAAGTGCTAATCTTGGGGATGGGTTGGAATGTGAATGGGTTTACGTTAAAAAAGAAGAAAACAATGGCGACAAGAAAAAATACGATAAGGTTATTTTGTACTTGCATGGTGGTGGATATATTTACGCATCGCCCGGTGCTTATCGTAGATATACTTCTAAAATTGCAAAATCTACAAATGCAAGACTATTTGGTAATTGATTATAAATTATGAAAATGAAAATTGACTTGACAAAAAAAAAAAGGTTTAGTTGACTAACAAAAAATGCATAATTTTATTTTCTTCAAAAAAACCAAAAGTACCAAATTATAGACTTGCGCCACAAAGTCAATTTCCTGCCGCTTTACATGATTCCATAACTGCCTACAATTATCTTATTGATCCACCAAAAGACGCGGATTTTCTACCAATTGAACCTAAAAATATTGTAATTATGGGTGATAGTGCAGGTGGTGGTCTAACAATTGCAACATT